AGCAAGCGCAAGCAAGCTATCCTCACGATAGACAATTGACTGTAGCATCCGAATCGCTGTCACCGTTAGCATCCGGCACCGGCGGGCGGTTCCTGGCTGGGTTCCGGGAGGGGAGTTTGCTGAATTGGAAATTCCCCCTCAGCCACAGGCAAACCTGGAACCGCAACAGGCCCAGAAGATGATGAAGCCGGTTCGTCAGAGGTTGGAAAGTCACCCTCAGGTAAGGGATCCTTCTTTCCCGTTGACTGACCAGGCAACAAAACAACCGGGATGAGACGCTCTCGCTTTGGCTTCGGAAAAATCGTCCGGATGTGCACCGCGCGCACGCGTCGGAGCGACATTCCTTGGAAAAGGCGGTCTCAAACTCTGCGGAAGCGGAAACTGCGGATGCGGCGGCATAAGCACTGGAACAATTGGTGTTGCTGGTGCTGGCCACGGCATAGGTGGACTCAATACCTGACCCGGATTAGAGAACTGCGGAACCGCTCCAGGAGCACCAGGAGGACCTCCAGGAGGAGGTGGCTCATCATGATACTCCATATGAACCGGCAGCTCATCTGGCGAAGGTCCATAACCAGGCCCCGGTCCAGAGGGACCGCCTCCTGGTGGATGGTCTCCATCGTTGTTCCCGGGATCCATTTCCAAGTCAGAACTGTCATTCTCCGGTACCGGCACGAAGGCGCCGTTTGCGGGAGGAGCAGGAGGATCACCGCCAGAGCCGAGCTCTATCGGTTCATTGTGGAGATCCGGTTCTGGCTGTTGGCTTTGAGGCGGTGGCATATCCTCATCGTCCACAGGCATGTCACCATGCGGATCCTCATAACCTGGATAGTCCACATCATCACCGTTTGGTGGTTGCTGCGGAACCTCAGGAGCAGGCGCAGGCTGATCCGTGAAATCTAAACCTACATCAGGCCCCCGACGAGCAGCTGGCTGGGACCTTTCGCCTCATTCCAAAACACAATCATGGACCAATGGCCTGCTTGCATATCCTGAAAACATGGAAGGAGCTGAGCCATAGTCAAAAAGAAGACATGATCATGGTCACCCTTATTCCAAAGAATCACAACAGCATCGGGATGACGATGGATCACAGGTACAGGTAAAGTCTTCCCGAAGGTCCCCCTCTAAACATTGCAAAACTCAAACTCCAAGTAAGGAAGAGTCAACACTCTGACTCTCACATTCTTGATCATCGGCCTCAAGGAAACGGCTTCTGACGAAGTGGTAGTGTGAACTTCCAGCTCTGTGCCTTGAATGAGATTGTCAATGCGAGTAAGGGTTTGAACCAACGACGAAGTGACAAACCTCTGTGGCGCGACGAAATGCAAAGGCTGCGGTAACTTCCCCTTTTGAGTTGTTTGGGAGAAGAGAATACTCCTCCGACGAAGGAAGCACCGGCAGTGCTTCAGCATTCCTGTCAGATCGCAAACACAGAGAGCACAACGCTCCATCCTCAAAGTCTTCAAAGATATCTTCACACTGACACAGAAATCCTTGTCGCAGGTCTGAATGTTTGTGACCAGTGGTACACTGGGACAACAGGACGGCGAACCGAGGATCAAAGATAGTTCCAGAGTCGTATCCTTCCGTGAGCGACTTCAAACGATCAAGTGATCCTTCTGGTAAGTTCGTAAGGAACGATAGTTCACCATGCGACTGTTCCCCCTGGTTTTCGAAAGTCACAAATTTCAAACTATGCCTCCATTTCAAAGAGCGACTGCACTGGGACGAAAAGAACCCAGTGTAAGCTGGATGAATCACAGTCACAAAGCATTCTCTGTCGTCTTGCCAGCGGCACAACTCAGCACAGAAATGCCAAAAAGCTCGCGCTGTCTTCTTAGGCCATTCGGCAGGAACGACTGGGTGAATGACAATGTGATTCGGCTAAGGTGCGGTAAAATCTCAACGAAATCGCTCTTCCCAGAAGTGAGTGCATGATAACAGATCTGAAGTCATAACACGTGGAAAAGACAACGTACATCCCGGCGTCATCAAGGATCTTGTCTCCATTGTGGTCGAGTGCCTCCTCAGAGGAGGAGCGTCTCGACTCTTCATCGGACTTGAGAGGAATTGCCACATCGTGCCACGGGTCATGATCGCGTCTCACCTTCGACTGATTGACTCGAAGCACAGCGCGATGGACCTCAACCAAAACCATGGCTCCTTCTTGTGACACAATAACGCCTCTGACCCAAACGCCTTCAGACTTCTTC